ACATGATCATATTCTTAGCCGTGTGCGGTGCCCCCTTCCACCATAATCCTCAATAATATTGTAGCCGTGTGCGAAGCCCTGCGACGGTAGTACATCAAGATCGTCACCACGCCGTCGTGCTGACGGAACTCTTCCCCGACACTTTGCTGGATCGGAGTCCGGGGATCGTTATCGAGCTGAACGTGTGCTAGAACTCGGAGGTGCCGTAGTTTCGGTGCTTGATCGGTCGGGCCGTGAAGACGTACGACTACATCAACCGCGTTGTGCTAACGCTTCCGCTGTCGGTCTACAAGGGTACGTAGATCACACTCTCCCCTCTCGTTGCTATGCATCACCATGATCTTGCGTGTGCGTAGGAATTTTTTTGAAATTACTATGTTCCCCAACATACCGTAACACTGAGAGGGCCCGAGAATATCTCTCCATCGTCGGAGGAGCAAATCCCAATCTTGATCTATCAAGTTACTTGACACACTTTTCCATGAACCCGTAAGCCATCGTAATAGCCGCCCATTTATGGATGACGTTTAACAAACCCCAAAGTTCATGAAGCAAGTATGAAGAAACTCGATACTCTCATGGTCTAAGGAATTGTGTAAACGTTAACTATCTCTGGGATATTAACCATAAATTTGTGACGAAAAGAATCTCATAGTATAAATCCGGGTCGATTCAACACAAATGTTCTCTTAACATTGTGCCGTCAAGGTTGCTGGCATAGACATGCCCATGATCAGGAAAACAGAACCATCATGCAACACTTGAGCCAGTCTTAGAGGCCAGACTAGGAATACATTTTACCGTTTATTATTCCACATGTGCATATGAGTCTTCCTTCGAGCCTCGTGGTTATTGTAGACTCAAGAACCATAGCAGTTATAGCATGGAACATAAACATAATTTTGAACCGGGAAATAATCATTAACATTTATTATTGCCTCTAGGGCATATCTCCTACACCTACGTCTGGAGCGTGGTCAGCTGGGCGTGAAATACTGAGCAGCTCTCCCAATCGCCTTTTTCAGGGCCGTGGGGGCGGGAGGAAGAACTGGGAGCGCTAGCCATGTTTGCGCGGTTTCTTGTGGCAAGCTCTAAGGATTTTCCGCCTGGTGTGGAATGGCATCTGAGATTCAATCTCCTTAAGTAGACGCCTTCCCTACATGGCCCGGGTGTTATGTGTAAAAATACTTGGACCCTTCGTATTCGTCTGACACGTGGAAGCCAGGGCGACGATGGCAGAGAAGCCAAAGGGTATAACATTTAATGTAAGGCTGAGTTGTTCGAAGAATTCGCCTTACCAAGATCGAAGATGTAAAGGCCGAATACAGTCCTTTGGTTCGGATGCTTTGAAGTATTCGGAGGAGGAACCCGCCTTGCAATGCCGAAGACAATTTGCACGTCGAACGCATCGTCATTGAAGATTGGTTCGGAGGCTACTGAGGGAGTCCTGTATTAGGGGGTCCTTGGGCGTCCAGGCTATGTGACATGGGCTGGACTCATGGGCCTTGAAGATACAAGATGGAAGGCTCTCCCTCGTGTCCGGATGGCACTCTCCTTGGCGTGGAAGGCAAGCTTGGCATTCGGATATGAAGATTCCTTCCTCTGTAAACCGACTTTGTACAAACCTAGGCCCCTCCGGTGTCTTTATAAACCAGAGGGTTTAGTCCACAAGGGTAATCACAATCATACAGGCTAGACATCTAGGGTCTAGCCATTACGATCTCGAAGTAGATCAACTCTTGTAACCCCTATACTCATCAAAGTCAATCAAGCAGGAAGTAGGGTATTACCTCCATTAAGAGGGCCCGGACCTGGGTAAACATCGTGTCCCTGTCTCCTGTTACCTTCGATCCTAAGACGCATAGTTCGGGATCCCCTACCCGAGATTTGCCGGTTTTGACACCGACGAGGAGTGAAGGAAATTCAATCATGGGGAAGAAATGCAACAGCCAGACAATATCTCTTTTCCGATCAAAGCACTTGTTGTTAATTTTACTAGCGCAGCCTCCCCTAAGGCGAGATGGGATCAGAAGGATGGTTGAAGCCAAGATGGAATTATGTTAAACTCAATATTGATGTACTGGTGATGGTTGCTTTATAATATAAAGCTGGGGGAAACCCTTTTTCGTCAAACTCAATATCGATACAGCATTTGATCCGGATTCGTTGCAATGAACAGTGGGGGATGTCATGAGAGATAGTAAAGGGAATTTGATTGCTACTGCGAATAAGAAACTTGATTCTTCTGTCAATGATTTTACAAGGGGGTGGTCTCTTTGAGGTTTGGTCTAAACCTTGCTCGAGCTATGGGCTGCAACAAGATTGAGGTCAACTCGGATAATCTATACATGATCACCGCAATGCATGATGGTAGTTCTTCTTCTGTGGCTAGTGTGGTCTTTTGTTATTTCATTTCTTCAGATTTTAGCCATGTAATTTATGAGCGCTACTTTAGGGGTTCAATCATGTAGCGCATGAATTGACAAAATGGGCTAGATTTTCCCTTCCTAGTATTTTTGTAGACTTGGCTCCAAAGGACTTGATTTCTCTGCTTGTAAGAGGTGCGATAATTGTCATGAATGAGTGAAAGAAGCTTCGAGCGGGGCTCGTTAGCCAGGCGATCTCAAGGTGAGCAACGGATCCCTTTGTGCGCCATCGGCTCCGCCGCTGGTTCCCTCTCCCTCCGCCAGCCACTCCAGTGGCGGGAGGGAGGAGGAACCTCAGATCTATGCATCTGGTGTGTTATCGGTAGGGTTAGGGTTGAGGGAGTCGTGGCGGTGGCGCGTCTGATAAGTTCTCCGCGCTCGGTTCACGGTCAGACGGGGATCTTGCCTTCGTCTAGGAGCCAACAGGTGGGGGATCCTCGGATCTCGTTGAGGTCACGGGCTATGGTGTCTGGAGGTTGACCAGCACTAACCGGTTTGGTCCTCGGATGGGTAGTGGTTGTGTGGAGACAAACATTCTTCTTCCTCCTTGGTATAAGTTTTTGTTGTTGTTCTTCCTCCTTCTTTGTGTCGCTGCTGGAGGGACGTTCCGCTTTGCCTGGGCAGTTCTCCCGGTCGCAGCGCCGGAACCGGATCCTAATTCTCTTTCATCTGAAAGAGGCACATATAGCGGTACTCAAAGTTGATGACGAAGGCTGGTGCAGGCGTGTTGGATGCACATGTGTGTCCTTATCTTTTCGGCGCCTGGGCAAAGAAGTTGGGAAGCAGCATGGCGGTGATTATGTCGTGGTTGAAGACGAGGACCTGCTAGGGTCTAGATACAGATTATTCTGTTGCAGTGGTCTCCTCACAAGGTTAAGGGATGATGACACAGAGCTCCGGAGGTCTTCTCGTTTTGCTGGTTGTTTGAGGGTGCTCTATGTTGTTCTTTTTTTATGCGTGTGTTAGGATATGCTCGTTCGGGTTTAAAGCTTTGTATTATGTCGTGATTTGAATACAAGCATACTTTTTAAAAATAGTGAAACTTTCAAAAAAAAAGTATAGTACTCTTCCTTCTCAAAGAGAAATTTGTATAGCAATATAGTACTTCGGTGCTGTGGGAAGTCGCGTGCATTTTCAACGCTGCCACGCTGACCAGCTCTAATGGGCACGGCAGGGAAGCCGCCGGCGCAGCCGGAGCCCGCGTCGGTGGCGGCGGCGAGGAAGCTGCACCTCCTCCTCCGCTCCCGCGACCTGCGCCCAGCGCTCGAATACCTCAGCTCCCTCCCCTCGCCGCTCACCCTCCTCCCCAACCACGCCCTCAACGCCCTCCTGCGCGCGCTCGCCGCCGCCGGCCGCGTCCGCGCCGCCACCGACCTCTTCCGCCGCATCCCCGCCCCCACCGCGCACTCCTTCAACTCCCTCCTCGCCGCGCTCCTCCGCCGCGGCCGCACCCGCGCGGCCAACGCCGTCCTGGGCGCCTTCCTCCGCTCCCCACGGGCCACACCCGACGCCGCCACCCTCAACACCCTCCTCCACGGCCTCTCCACCGCCTCCCCGCGCCCGTCGCCTCCCGCGCTCGTCAGGCTCTTCCGCTTCCTGCCGGAGACCTACGCCTTCGCCCCCGACGCCATCTCCTACAACTCGCTGCTCTCCGCTCTCTGCCGTGCCGGTGACCTGCACGCCGCGCGCAAGCTGCTCGACAAAATGCGCGTCGGAGAGAAGGATTGCAAAGCTTCTGTGTCTCCCAATGTCATCACTTACACGACCATGATCAAGGCGTACTGTGTAAGGGGCCTGGCCGACGAGGCGCTCACGGTCTTCAACATGATGGCTGCAGATGGGGTGGCGCCGAACAGGATCACCTACAACACGATGATCCAGGGGTTCTGCGAGGCCGGCAGGATGGAGCTGGTGAAGGGGTTGCTGGAGACAGACTCGTTTAAGCCAGACACGTGCACATTCAACACACTGGTGGCCGCACATTGTGGCGAAGGGCGGGTCAAGGAGGCGATGGAGGTGTTCGGCCAAATGGCGGAGCTCCGCGTGAGTCGTGACTCTGCAAGCTATAGCACGGTGATCAGGGCGTTGTGCGAGAACAAGGAGTTCGTGAAGGCTGAGGCGCTTGTGGATGAGCTTTTGGAGAAGGAGGTGCTCACGAAACGAGGGGGTTGTGTACCGCTCATTGCGGCATACAACCCAGTTTTTGTGTACCTGTGTGAGAATGGGAAGGCAAAGAAGGCAAGGGTGCTGTTTGGGCAACTACTGGATCGGAGGAGCAAGGTCGACTTTGCTGCATTCAAGACATTAATTCTAGGGCATTGCAAGGAGGGAGATTTTGAAGAAGGGTACCAGCTGGTGCTCTCAATGTTGAAGAGGGATCTTGTGCCTGATGATGAATGCTACATTGCCATCGTAGAGGGATTTTCACAGAAAGGAAGGATGAAGGTTGCATGGGAGGCCCTACACAGGATGCTGAACAGCGGTCTCCGGCCTAGCACAAGCACGTTCCACTCGGTTCTTTTAGGACTTCTGAAAAAAGAAGGTTGCGCAAAAGAAGCTGCAGATTTGATTGAGATAATGCTAGAGAGGAAGATCCGCCAGAATTTGGATCTTTCGACCAATACGATCGACACATTGTTCAAAAGCAACCTAAATGACCGTGCTTACAAAATCATCACATCTCTATATGACCAAGGCTATTACATCAAGATGGAAAAACTAATCGGGGACCTCTGCGAGGAAAAGAAGTTCACAGAGGCAGCCGAACTCACCTTGTTTAGCTTGCAGAAGCGTCATGATTTGGGCGTGTCGATATCCAGTACGGTTCTGGATGGCCTTTGCACAACTGGTAGAGCTTCAGATGCGTTCCGGCTTTTCTACAAACTCATTGAGAGCGGAAGCAGTTCTGCTGCTGTTGAACCTCGCAGTTTGGTTGCACTTCATCATGCGCTTGATGAAGATGGAAAACAGAAAGAAGCTGATTTTGTTGGTAAACAGATGAGGCGTGCGGCTGCCAGAATTAGGGAAATGGTCTAAGAATTAACATTTCCCCAGGAACCACTTCAAACTCTATGCTGCTCCATACACACTCGGCCTTGAACAGAGAGCAGGATGCTGAAGCTGGACTTCCAAGCGCTCGGCTTGACCAACCGCATGACAAGAAATGCATCGTCGAGGAATGTTAGATGTTGTAAGAACACATACGACAGATCAAATCAATATATATTCGTTAACCATCCTTAGAAGGGTTTGCTTGGACCATTGTACGGTCAGACTTCGAGACAGAAAGAACCATCTACGTCTGCGACATCATAAGCTTGTCAAGGCCATCCGATCTGGTACGTTTCTTCTCAAGGGCAGCCCTGTCCAACCAGATGAAATGAAGTGATTGAAAACAAGACAGCAAGCTGCTATGGAGACTTTGAAGAGCAGGTTCACTGGAAATCAAAGCATGCATCCACCCTATAATCTTATTGGCAAAAGGTCCATATGAGCTACGGTGACTCGTTGAGTTCACAGTACTGGCTGTCAGACACATTTGCCACGAAATGGAGAGGCATTGCCAGAAATAATGTACAGTTCTTTGCAGTGTGCGAGTCCTCATCCCTGTCGTTGCGAGATTCTCCTCGTGCAGTTAGGGAGCTAAACATGGATGTGTGGAAGTGATTTCATAATCTTCAAAGTACTCTTGCTCTGAAGATCCGTTGTGGAAGATAGGCTGAAGACCCAGCCTTGTTCGGTACGCCATCATTAGCAAGAATGCCTGGGAACTTTCTGTTTTGACACTTCAAACCTCCTTTATTCATTTACCAGAATGGTTGCATTGTTTACAAGCATAGAAATTACAGCCTAAGTAGATGGCAAACAATAAAGCCTGGGAACTTCCTTTCAGTGCCAAGATACAAGTTCTTTTTTCTAGGCAGAAATGGGAGTTAAAAGAATCCTATGAAATTAGATTGCAATGCTCATTATCTGAGATCACAAGTTTTCTTGTTTAGTTGCATCAAATGTTACTGGTAACAATTGTACAACTTTGATTTAGCTAAATATCTCGTCATTTATTCGGTAAATTCAGTCTCAAAAGTGCTGCGCCGCACCTATGTTTACATATGTTCTGCTGGAAACATTAGTTCAAACAGTACTCTCGTTCAGAGTGACAACCACAGAGAACAGGTACATAGCAAGCAATCACATCAGATGTCTCAAGTGTTAAGTCTCAAATACTAGTTCAAAAGTCGCCACTATTACAGACAGTTCTGGTTCCAGTTCCCTAGAACTAAGGAGAGCTTCATCCCTCGCACGCACAGCACAAGATAATAGCACAGCAGGAAAACTATTCTGCTTGGTGTGCAGCAGGCACACTATTTTGCAATATGGCACGGCTCACATGATCGAAACGCTCAAGTAATCACCTATCTGCAAACAAAGGTAGCATCATAGTAAATAACAATGTGTGCCAACCAAAAAAAGGCTTAAGTAACATACTGCGGAACTTGTGCATACCTGGAAGCCAAGGTCCCCAAGAGATTTGGCATCATCCCCTCTTCCATGACCATAAGAAAAGGTCGAACCCACCTTCACAATGTCCAACAAGATGAGTTATCACAGGTTGAAACCTCAACAATTATGATTTATGAATGCAAGGGAACATAGGTTGTGCAATGGAAATTTGTGGATGTAACTACTCCCTCCGTTCCGAATTACTCGTCGCAGAAATGGATGTATCTAGAATATTCTAGATACATCCATTTCTGCGACGAGTAATTCGGAACGGAGGGAGTAGCAGTTTAAGCACCACACTGAATGGACTAGTAATAAGCATCAATTTCGGTATGGAACTGGTGGTTACCATACTGTCTGGAACACTTTGTAATGGTCATATGCCCGTTATTAGCAACACATAGTTGAAACATAATTGCTTAACGGTGCAAGCTGCAACTAGTAGCTCATCATGCTACTAACTAGGCCAAAGCAAGAATAAGGAGACGGCGCTAGAGACTTTTAATATCAAAAATGGAATTATACAAGATTATGAGCTCATAAACATTAAGAGAACCAGAACTAATAGTTAATGTATCCTGCTATTGATGTAACTCGTTCCTGAAAGTAGAACTAACATCTCCTGTCATCCATAAAGGAGTTAGTGAGGTATCAGAAATTTAGGATTTAGGACAGGGCGCTCTGCATTTGTAAATTATGAGTAGTATTGAAGAAACAACTACTCCCTCCTTTCCTAAATATAAGTCTTTCTAGAGATTCCACTACAGACTAAATACGGATGTATATAGACATGTTTTGGAGTGTAGATTCATTCATTTTACTCCGTATGTAGTTCGTAGTGGAATCTCTAAAAAGACTTATATTGAGGAACGGAGGTAGTAATTTGCTAGATTACCACCATAGGGTACCGTGATATACGGAGCAACAGTTAATTTGGTTGGCATTTGTAAATTGGTATTGAAGAAACAAATCAGTCAAGATCTTACCTGTTTGACAACAAAACGACCATTCTTATCCGGGTATACAAAAGCAAAAGATAACCTAGCGTTTCTTTTCCTTGCTGGAAGAGCAACCTCTTTGACCTGAAACATGATCAAAATTGTGCTGATTAGACTATCATCCAAGCACTTGGGATTACCATACTGTCACACACCCATTGGTATTTTATGACATGGGATGTGATTGACATGGACGCCCAAGCACTAATTATAGCTGTAACACACACCCAGTAGCTGTAACACACACCCAGTGGCATTTTATGAAATTTCAATTTAAATTATGTTTCCCAAAAATGTCGAAAGTATAAGATATGTAATATTACAAGATCAGTGAGCTCCCGGAGTGTGGCATCCTTCCACGTGTAAATCTGAACTTCATCTTTTGGCTCCTTCCCTCTCTCGGAAAATTCTTCATTCAGGTGATGGCCACCAACCTGGGAAAAAAAACAGGATCAGTTTTCTGTATTACTGTGTGTTTATTCACAAATCTGCAGTCTGCACTGAGAAGACATCGTTCAGAACTGTTACAGAAGATAAAAGTTGGAGAGTGTAAGGATCTCTACTTGTCTATTTTCCAGATCGGCCACAACAAAAAATTCTCAGTCTCTCAGATTTCTCAAGCACTACATGCTTACTACCATTTTTTTCTGGCAAGGATTAAGAATAGCCATAGCTGACTTGAAAATCAAAATGCAGAATCCAGTGTGTATATGAAATTATGAATAGCATCCATCTTCCTAAAAAATAGCGTCCATTTTTTCAGCCAAAGATGGTGAACCCAACATTGGCGGCTAAGTGCTTCCCCTTAAATTGAGCTCACAGTACAACACCAACAGATACTCCTTGAGCAATGAACATATGTGGTGTTTAAATTGTCGGTTGAAAAATTGTATGACATGTAGTGACTTGAAATGCTCGAAAATAATGGAATTTGCGAACTGCATGTCTGTCAGACATGATAAATAGTTTAGTGCTGAACTGCTGATGACCTTCAGAAATTTTTTGTTAAGATATAACAATTGCGACATCCAAAATGTGTGGTTTATATGTTCAATCCTTAAGAGTTTATTACAGATAAATGGGTCTAGCTATGTTTACACGCCTGTTGGCCCCTGGTTAGCCAGGTTTCATGTTGAACTAAAACTGGAAGGCCTATCAAACAAACCAACATTCTGATAAATAAGTTTTGGGATCCTCCGCTATATTACTGAGTCATTAGAGTTATTTGCCAAAACTACAGTTGAACACCTAATCAAGTGCTGCTCAACTACAGGTGCCATACGATCGACCCGATCCACACAGCACCATCCAGGAACAGAATTTATACATCCTTAAAAACACAACAACGTGAGCACAGTGGTAATGGATCATGTTTTACTAGCATCATTCAGATAGCACCACACGTTTCAGGTTACTTTGCTACCGACCACCCATGCACCAGAAGATCCAATCAAATATTGCACAAACCAGGCGAATCGAGGATATCATAAGGCGCTCTCGACCGTAAGTGCATTAAAAGGAACAAGAAAGAGTAAAAAAGAAAAGGCATCACTATGCTTTACCTTGGTGAAAACCCGCAGCAGGAGAGGGCAGGTCTGCACAAGAAGAATTCAATCAATCAGTCCTCGCAATCCTCTAAATGCAAAACCTAGCAAGCCTAAGAACAGTGCTGCTGATCGGCATACTAGTAGTATATGTCCGCGCACTAGCTAGTATAACAAGTAAACTCGTTAGGGTTGCGGAGGAGGCCTGGCTGGCTGACCTTCTCGCGGTCGATGGGTTCGGGGCGGGGGCGCGCCATGGGAGGCGGGCCGCGGTGCATCGGCGGGCCCGGCCGCGGCCTCATCGACATCTCGCCCATGCCCGCCATCTCCCTCCTCGAAAACCTAGAATCCACTGCCCTGCTCTGACTGACTCTGCCGAGATCGATGCGACACGAACCAAGGAGACGAGTCAATCTACCAACCTTTTCCGGACCAACGAACGAGAGAATCGGAAGCTGAGGGAGATGGCTGACCTGCTCCGCCGCCGCTCGCCGTCCGCCGCCCGCCGCCGGATTCTTCACGGGGTGGTGGTGGGTGTGGATGAAGGTTGGGGGGGGAGAGTCCGCAGCGTGGATGCCTCTGGAAGAAACCCTAAACTTTTGTGGTTTGCACCCTTGCTTTGACTGAAATTCTGGCCCAACCGCGAAATCGTTGTTTTGTAAGGTGCTGTGCAGAAGTTATCACGGTGGTACATCTAGACCGCTCGCTCAGGGGCCAACGGCCGAGGCTCTCCTAAGGGTGACACACTTCTCATCTCCAACACATCTTTGCTTTTACATTCTTCCTAAATCATACTACTATACTAGTATGTTTCTGCATTCTTCCTAAACCATACCACTACTTGGCCTTGCCTATTTTTTTCATTGTAGAGGTGATCCTTTGGATTTTTAAAAATTATGTTAAACCAATTGAAGGATTTATTTATTGGGGGAGGTCGAACGAAAACCATGCAATTTTCTATGGTTTTGCATTCCTACACCAAGATTCGTTAAGATTTCTAGCAAACATGTTAGGCCTCAAGGGGTTTTCTATGTGTCTTACATGCATCTTCTATGTTTCCAAAACTCTCGAAAAAATCTTGTAGAACACACAAAGAGCTTTACACATAAATCCAAGTGTGTTGATTTCTTGTGCAATTGTAAAATTCAAGAAGTCGTGTCATTTTCAATCGTGCATTTTATTACTTGTCTTATGAGAATTCTGCGCTCCAATGGAAGGGTTTATCATGCATTTAGTTATGTTACTCTAGTGGAGGAGTACTTTTGTTACAAAACCTAGGTCACCGTTGATTCAAAGGCACACGTGTCGCGTCATGTTCAGAATTAGATACGTTATATGATTATTCGCAAAGGGGATATTAGTCACGAGAGGATGAGGGAGCCTACATCAGCAAATTATATACCGAGAAAGTGAAAGATTTCTAAAGGAACTTTACATTATCATGATAGAGAAGAAATTTTCCTATGTAGCCTCATTGGACTGAAGATCGGGACCACCAAAACATGCATATGAATGTTATCCTACATGAAATTCCACAGGATTCTAAGCCCCACGTGAGGAAAATCTTTTGCTTTGCAGAGATATCCTCTCCCTTTTATCGATTTTAAAAATCACGTGAAACATCCATATTTTTTTAAGGACTTGAGCATTGATTTTCTTGCAATGAGAAAACCGTGACACACGGGTTATGCATCTTTCTTTATCTACTATGTGTTTCCAAGAGATGAAAATGTTAATACTAATATATGTATGTATACAAACTTCTATATATGAGAAACTACATAAAGTGTCTTAATGCACAAATCATACTTCTTTAAAACCATATATAACAAACGGGTTGTTGGGTGGCTAGCGAAGGCATTGTATCCACGGTCATGAGGGGCCAAACTCTAGGCGTAACAAAGTAACGCGTCTAGAAGGCAACCAAGATCATGTGATATATATAGGCTGGGGTTTTCCCTCTCTTTCCTACTTCCTGTTTATGACTGCTATACGGTTGTATACAACTAAGCTTAAATCTTGAAGTGTCATGGGCCTTGCCTTCCACCCACCTAACTCTGCCCCTGCTTGACGCCACGTGTGCCTCATTAAGACGGATTTATATCATTACAACACCCAAAAAAAATATTGTCACAAAAATGACTGAATCTATGTGAGATGTGTTGAAAGGATCGTCGACCTTCGGTCCCCATATGAATGTGTGTTTGTGTGTGATGGTGTGCGTCTACATTGTACTCGGTGTTTCTTCGGGGAAAACATCTACATGTAGATTATTTTTACATCATATTTGCACTTATATTCATTTTGTTGTAAAATATGGAGATGGTTCTATTTCCATGACTCCCTCGATAGAGAGGGGGTTGACTGACCCGAAGCCCGGCAAGCAACCCAACCAGAGTCACGCCACGCTGCGCCCAAGAGGCGCTCCCGCACTGACACACTCCACGACCGACCTCACGCCTCCCTCCCTCGCTCGCTCGCTCTCGGGAATCGCGAACCACCACCCCAGCCGCCATGGCCGGCGGCGACGCCAAGCCCCTCGCCGGCGGCGCCTTCCTCCGCTTCCTCCTCCCGGCCCCCAAGCCGGAGCCGACCCCTCCCGCCCGCCTCGCCCCGCCGCACTGCCTCGTCGCGCCCGCCCAGCCGGACCCGCCCCCCGGCGCCCTGCCGGACGAGCGCCTCTTCATCGTGGCCCCCACGCGCCCCGCCTGGCTCCCTCCGCAGCCGCGGCCGCAGCCGCAGCACCCTTTCTCAGTCCCTCCGGCGCGGCGCGTCCACCCGGCCGCCGGCGCCGCGCGCAATGCGGGCCGCTTCGCCGCCGGCCGGGGCGGCCAGGCGAGGCGGAGGGCCGGGGATTTCGCCGGGAGCAGGGCCCGCGCGGGCCCAGATAGGCGGAAGGCGGGCGGGGGCCTCGCCGTGAAGGCGAACGGAGGCGAGGCCGGCGCCGGGGACAGGCGGGCGGCGGCGGCGGCGCGGAGGGAGAAGAGGGTGTGGGTTGCCGTGGAGAGGAAGGGCGCAAGTGGCGGCAGCGACGCCGACGACCCGGCGGCCGTGGGTGGGGGATACGCGGGCGGAGACGAGGCCGGGGGGAGCGTCGAAGGGGAAGAGCAGCTGGAACCGGACGACGGCGATGGCCGGCGTCTCGGGGAGGAATTGGAGGATTCTCTCCTCATCGCCGGCGATCAAGAGTGCCATGACAGCGACGGCGGCCAGCAGTCAAGCGAGGTAGTGGAACCCCCCCAAAATCCTCCTCCTCTTCAAATGATCATGATTTGCCCCCAAAAACAATTTTTTTAGCTCAACTGGTCATGTTTCTTTGCTCTGCAGAACACCATGTCGCAATCGAATCAGTCACGGCGGCTGCAAATCAGAACACACACGGGGTGGATGGAATGCCGCCATGACATCGGCACCTTCGCCCCCGGCTTGCTCTCCATCTACGAATCCCTCAAGCCGTCAGAGGATCACATGTCCAAGCAGAGCCGGCTCATCGACTCCCTAACAAAGTCAGTGAGCAAAGAATGGCCCAACGCCCAGCTGCATCTCTACGGATCATGCGCCAATTCCTTTGGAACTTCCCACAGCGACGTCGATGTCTGCCTCGAAATCGATATCGGCACGGGGAGCGAGGTGGAGCTTCTTCTGCGGCTGGCGGAGATCTTGCGCGGCGATAATTTCGACAGTGTGGAGGTAAGCAAGCCTTCACTATATGGAACTTTGCAATTTGTACAATTCTGTTGTAAAATTCACTGTAAACTGAGGCTGTAAATTGAGGTTGTAAAAATTCACTGTAAATTGGGGCTGTGCATAATTGTTGTTGCAGAATTTGCTGTAAATTGGGGCTGTTGGTTTGATCCTCTATCATCCTCGCAGGCGATTACCAGTGCTAGAGTGCCCATTGTGAGGATGTTGGATGCAGGGAGTGGCTTCTCTTGTGACATTTGCATCAACAATCTGCTTGCTGTCGCCAACACGAAGCTTCTCAAGGATTATGCGCAGATAGATGGTAGATTGCTTCAGCTGGCCTCCATTGTCAAGCACTGGGCCAAACTGAGGGGTGTCAATGAGACATACCGCGGAACCCTCTCCAGCTATGCGTGAGTTAAACGACTATGATGGATTCATCTGAGATAATTATGTTAATGTGAATTCTTAAAAGAATGGGGACTCACTTGTTTATGTAAAATTGCAGATATGTGCTTATGTGCATCAGTTTCTTACAGCTGAGGGAGCCCAAGATTCTCCCCTGTTTGCAGGTATGTACCTTACTTCTGTTGCATCAACTTCTTCATAAATCATCTTATCTGTGCCGATGCAGAAACTACTGAGCTTCCAAGTGCACTTTGTAAATTTTATTAAATTCTGTAAATCCACTTTTTTCCTATTTATTTATTTTTAAAATAATATTTTCTCTTTCTTTTATTTTATGGTAGAATTATGTGCTCTAGTCATCATGGATTTGCCCCATTTGACACTGTGCATGCATATGATATGGATGGTTGTATTTGGATGGCTCATCACCATCATTCAATTATGGTTTGTCGATTTTCTTTTCTTCTTTCCCTTTTCTTTTCAATTTTTACCCGATGTAGTAGGTTATTTTGCCATATATTTCATCATTTTTGGTTTTCTGTATTTGTAGTTACCAGGTAAGTCAGAGGGAACATCAAAGTTCTTGTCCATGTTTTCAGCTTCATGATATGCATCGGTTTGGTCCATTTCATCCTGATGCAACTAATTCTACCTCATTTCCCCACATTTTCAGGCTATGGAACCCACATATACCATGGTTGTTGATGACACTGAATGCGCTTATTTCGACGAAGTTCATCAGCTTCATGATTTTGGGGCTGAAAACAAGGAGACCGTCGCGGAATTACTCTGGGCATTTTTCCATTACTGGGCATTCCAGCATGATTACAGGAAAGATGTCATCTCCATCCGTATGGGAAAGATAATCAGGTAGGTAATTAAGGAGCTTCTTCCAAACCAAGAATTCAATATCGATTTAATTTTGTCTAGGTTATAAGAAATTGAAACATTTCTTTCTCACCTGGTGTGATGACGCAATGACATGTAGCAAGAAGGAGAAGAACTGGACGACTCGCATTGGAAACGACCGCCATCTGATCTGCATCGAGGACCCTTTCGAGACCGGCCATGACTTGGGCCGCATAGTCGACAGGCAGACAATCAGGATCATCAGGGAGGAGTTTGAGAGAGCCGCTGCCATGCTGCAGCATGATGATGATCCTTGCTCAACCCTTTTCGAGCCCTACAATTATGAAAACTAAACATCGGAAACACCTGAAAATTCAGATAACATTTCTGCCAGGAAGGTGAAGGTTCTGATGATGAACTGTTTGAACATTCTGGTAAACGGAATAAATGAATGAACTCGGTTGCATTAAAGAAAAGATGAAATTGTGTCAGGTGCATTCACCTGCCAGAAGATGGGCCGTGATTCGTCGCAGAGAAAACTGATTTGGTAGGACTATTCTCTGCTGGAAGATGAGCTGTGCCAGCTGCAGGCTGCAATGAGTTCACTGTGACCAGTACACACTCATGTTCTATGCTGTGGTCACCTGGAAAGAGCAATCTCAAACCTTCTTTATGGCATGCAACTGCATGGATTCACAATAGGGAAATTTGATGATCTCACTCTCCAGGATATTTTTAACGTCAATATTTTTTCATGTTGTGACAAAAAAACTTGGACATTGTTGAACATTTTGTAATTCTGAAACAGACAATTCACAGTAGGTAAACTTAAGGATCTCACTTTCCAGGATAATTTCAACATCCATACTTCCTTCATTTTGTAACAAAAAACTTGGACATCGTTGACCATTTTGTAATTCTTAAGCAGACAAAATTCTTTACATGCTTGCGTAACTGCACTTTTACAGTCGCAAGTGTTGGACAATGTAACCTTCTCTGCAGCAGTAAAGCATGAGATGAAGGCGCCTAGGACAAAAAGATACTACAAGAGACCAAATTCTACCCTAGAGCCAAATGGACCTTCCTAGACCTGAAGACATTGAGCAGGTCTTGAACTTTGCTTCCAATCTTATCATGTGCAGCCAATGTAATCTCATGACCAACACATTACAACCGATGGTGGTTAGAAACAGACAATGCTGAATGATGTTTCTAGGGCTGCAAATATGCGTGTATTTGTTGTCGCCTCGTTTCAAACTCATGTGGCCTTCACTTTGACATGCTCAGGCTGGTTGAAATTTTCATTGTACAACATGCCCGTTGGAGAAACAAGCCGTTGTAGAGCGCTTCCAAACCGACTCTGAAATGGGAAAAATATTCAAAGAGACTAAATTAGGGCTATCATAAGATGTTACATTCTAAATATAACACATGATACATAGAAATGAACATACCCACTGGAAGAAGACAAGTACCCACCAGCATAGTGTCAAGCTACTACATTTGTCACGGACAAGCTTTTAAGACAAAACAAGAAAAGAAAAGTCATCATTATCAGAAGAGTATTAACATAAGACTTCTAAAAGAATAACCGAAAACAGAAGAACTATTCAAGGTGGCAGCTGAATTTTGGCTCTTTTACTTGCCGGGCAGTGAACTCATAGCTTTATCAACTAAGAGCATTCACAGTGTCCAGGGGTAGATACAGAGCAGATTGTGGTCCTATTTTGCCATGGTTCGGACCTCATATTCAAAAGTTCTGGATCCTTCTTTTTTTCAAGTTGGCATACCCTCTATCAATGTTATAATTATTTGAATAAGAAAAATAAAAACCAAAACCCCGATGAGGTCACACAGAAAAAGGAAACAAGGAAACGAGCATTACCAGTAGTAGAAAGGTTCCAATGCTGAAGCATGCACCCATTGATTGACTCAAATACCTGAGATCCCTTCCAGCCTGAGAACAGAAAGATAACCATCAGACATTTCATCGCATTATCCAGCCAATGTTAGGTTTTCAGCTGTTGATCTTATGAACTTAGCAGAATAGGCCCTTTGTTCTGTTAATTGTTACTGCAGTATCATAGCAAATCAAGATGGATACCGCATTAATTACTACACTGCTGATGATGGCCTAGTATCAGGTGGTATGCTAGGACCAGCCAAATGAAGTATACCAACTTACCAGCAATGTTCCTTCAAGGCTGTGTACTGAAGGTGTCACCAACAATGCAGTGAAATATGGAATCAGCACTTTGTGCATCTGTTAAAAGCAGTGCAGCTGAATTATTAGTTTCGCACACCAAACTCTGGTAGTCATGGAAATAAAGCATGAAAGCTTCTGCAGAGAAACCAAGTTATGCAAGGTGTCACGATAGGAGATTTCCACGATGACATGCAAGCCAGTTCTCCAAAGACAGCAAACAATTCCTAACTAGATCGATATGATGGAAGACAGCCTTCTAAAATGAACATCAGGATTAGCAATAAACTAGCAAGCAGATTCGTATATGCCATGGACCACGGTTAGATAGCCCTGTGGATCTGGGTGCAACCATGCCATGGAAGCCACAGCGAAGGGGCAGGGAAGGACAATATATGGTAAAGATAGCCTTCACAACAAGTTGTAGATACTAGGAAACAACATCTACATAGACAACTGGCATACTGATAGTTTCTGAGGAGCAATCTGTATCGAAAGTACTTCCAGAACATGCAAAAATTAAAGCAGTATATCAGACCTGTTGTACAACCAGTAGATCATTGGTAAACAGACTAGGAAAAAGCCACGGAACAATCGTTCCAACTGTCCCCACAGTCAGTCCAGCTATAGCTCCAATCATCACGAGTGACTTGAGTAGCATCCTTGCCTAGATTAAAGGTACCTTCAGTATCATTCAGAGTAATGAACATAATATTTATACAATTTGATGTAGAAACAACTATGGTAAAATGCAGCCCCACTACTTTATAGTCAATCAAAGCACCATCAGTGCAGCACAGGTTGCTTCAAGTCTTCAAGTATGCATAGTGGTGCTGGGTCCACCAGCAGCTTTTGCTCTAATACAGGGAAAAGCAGGTAGGTGTATACCAACTAAACGTATGAAACCTGTTATGCAACATGTGCAGGTCAGAACTTAAATATTTTGTCAACAGTCAAGACGCCTCATGTCCTAAGAAATAATAATCTACCCAAAATATAACAGTATCAAGCTTCTGATAGATCCTATCGAAATAAGATTATTACTCCATCCGTCCCATAATATAAGAGTGTTTTTGACACTACAGTACTACACTAGTGTAAAAAATGTTCTTATATTATGGGACGGAGGGAGTAGAAATCTTAGATAAACTCCTTTTTTTCATTTCTAGGCTTTCAAAATGTCTTGTCAATGGCATAAGTCACATTCAGCTCTGTTTTGACCAGAGGAGTCTGGCCCCTCATAAAATTGGTAATTACTTGTTGGCTTATCTCAGCATCATCATGCAAAATATTTCAAAGAAAACTGAAAAGGAAGCTCCTTGTGAAATTACTTTGTTGAACCGATGAAAAGATGTTTTGCATGTCAGTTGATACATTTAACCAAACAAAAGAAAAGTGTAAAAAAATACAAGTGCCCAAGCATACATGTTCATCAAACACAACTTTGCACAGATTCTTGGATATGTGCTGATATTCCTGCTAAAGTATCAACACGGGCACAACCGCACAAGTAAAATTATGATATTCAGAGGAAAATGAGCACTGTTGATAGGTACCTTCATCAAATTGCGGTTAGCTCCGTATATCATCTCCGGCATGAACGACTGTGCAGTTTGTGACAGGGGCTCACCCCAAACAGTGCACATGCATAAGATATTAACCATGACCTTCACGAGATAAAGTAAGCAATGTATGCTGTCACGTTTTTATCGACATGTCTTCATAGGGAAGCATTCCATAAGCTAAAAAGTATGAACCTGATGGCCTGCAAGAGTTATTGCTCCCATAGAAGTCGCGGAGTATGTAAGTAATGCATAAAATGCTACCTGAAGAAGATTGAAACAATTAGTTACAGTAAAGCCAAGGAAAGGACACAGATCATTAATAACCCAAAAGAATGATACCTTGGATGTCATTGTCACAAAAACAGGAGCTGCGATTTCGAATATCTGCAGAAGCTCTCTTGTCGATGGGATTGTGAATGAGAACGCTCGAAAACCTCTACTGTTTAGATTTTGCATCATCATAAAAGCTGCAACAATCTGAGCATGTGTCACAAGCTAGCTAGTTATACAAAAACATGTGAGCAGAGAACTCAAACCTGCAAATAAATTGGCAGTGTGAGCAACATCACGAAAAGCTAGAGGTGGAGGCTATTTGTGTAGCGCGATTACAAATCATGAAGAGTGGAGAGATGATGGGATTTCTGGAATATAAAATACAACTAACAACAGAAGAGCATGTGGTTCCATCTGGACAGGGTGTGGCGTGCATCAATAAGTAATGTACTTGTAGAAATATTAGTTAACCAGGTATTGTTGCTTAAGGGAAGGTGTGGAAACTTGATTTTCAGCAACGTGGAGACATGTGGAGGAGACTGGAAATATGCGCACCTGTGAAACCATAGTAGCCCAGGCGGCACCAGCAATTCCATATCCACATACAGAGCAAAGAAATATATCACCGACGCCATTTATAACACTAGCTGCTGCCAATGCCTTCAGAGGACCCCAAGCATCTTTCATGCCTAGACTGAGTTACAGAAAAAAATGTAATATAATAAGAGAAGCATCCAATCAAGATACTGTAATACAACATCAAATATAAGACTTTGAATTGTTTACTGTTGCCTGTACTATTGTACTCATGTAAGTATGTACTCCATATCTGAGTACTCAGTGGCAACTATAATGATTGAACCAGCATATAGCAATTAACGCAACCACATACTTAGAAATATAATTGTCAAAGACATTTGAGGCTTAAACCAAATGTCTACTAACATTCCAACATGTACAGTTCCACTAGTTCTTGTAGCTGCTAAGATAGATATAGTAATGCAGTGTCCCTAACGACATGAATTCAAATTAAAAAACATTCAAACAAGAGCTAGGATTCTACATGTAGAGAAACAGATTTCATAATTTTATTTCCTGAGTTGAGCTAACTTCAATTTTGTTACCCTAATGTTACATCCATAAAATTACTGGAAGAAACAATATTTGATAATTATATACTTTCACAATCTGTAGTTCAGCAAAACAAATGGTCAGAGGAAAAAGGCGCACAAGAAACAGAAATTCAAAGAAACAAGTATATCCAATGCAATAAAAGAACAGGAATGGGCACAGTTTGTACCTAGCACTTTGGGCAACTAAGCCAACGAGAACTGCAGGCCATGCAAAACCTCGAATCTGAAATTGAGTTTCTGTTATTTCTCATGAAACAATCAAATTCATTTTCATATCCTATAATAGAAGATGCTTGAACAGTAGAACAAGCATACAAAACAAGATTCCACAATAAGCCTTGAAGTCGGAACTATAAGTTTGTAACATCACTAACAACGCAAGGGAAATGACCTATGCAAGCTGTCCAACCACATAATAATCAAATTAGTATAACAGAGACCAACTAGGTAAATGAAAAATTGAGTTGTATCTACGAGGTTATGATGATAAGCAATTTCAGAGTTAACTAAGCACACAGCATGTGATTCACAGTATCAATGATACACCATGACTGGTTTTTTGCACCTCTAATTGAGTTCAAGTGAGCATGATTGTTTAAGTAACCTCCCTTCCTTTTCTCATGTTTCATAGTTTTTGTGCAAACCCGTTAGATTTTATTTCAGATACATCACGGCATTGATGTTTTCAGTCATGTCCATTTACCTTAGCAAATGTTTGGCTGGTTATACTCGAATAAAGAAAGGGCAAAAAAATAAGTATCAGTTATACATCAGTGAAACATGACCTCCCTTCATTAGTCAACTAACAACGGAAAAATAGCCTAAAACGTGAAACTATTAAAACACGGTCAACATATACTGACCTGTGCATATGTATTAGCAGCAGAAATAATTTCATGATTTTTTGATCCAGTAAAGGCTGAAAAGAAATTTAAGAAATCACGAGTTAGGGTAAAATTAAGTAGAACACACCAAACAAGAATTTTCAATAAATGTAACCGGTAGAACCAAACATGACTTATCGTGCATGCAAAACACTAAACTGGTAGAACAAGTACAGGGGCATCTTCTTCATAAGTATGCGCCCTAATCAGGTAATGAAGTCGGAACAAGCCAAACAGTTGGATAAAAGCATTACATGACCCCAATTTTAAACAGCACTTGAAGCTTAACTGAGTCTAAGGTGAAGGCAAAAGTGACTTTTCAAGTGAGATGGCAGGGAATTACAGAATCTAATGACAAAAGTAGTCCTCCACTCCTCCAGCACTTCGTTGGAAAATACAAAATATCCAACACTTCAAATAAGATGATAGTTTCAAGCCCATGGAACATTTTGTTTCAAAGACTTACCAGTCAATACTTGAACCCCAAAAATCTTAGTGAACAAAAACATTCCTATACCAAAAGTAAGAGCTATAAATAGCAGCGTAGACACTTGATGCTGTGCAAGTTCTTCATCCTGCATATAGTAGCTGTAACTGGATTAAATCACACATAGAGCAAGAAGGTATATATATGTGCCAAGTGGCTGCAAGAACGAGACAAATATCTGAAGAATCTTCAGCTTCTGGTTATCAATAAATCATTAAATTGCCAAGTAACATCTTATATTTGAACGGTGTTCTTTTCCTTTTGGCAGCAAAACAAATGTATAGAAACACAAGCATGTATCGACCTACTACTGTGTCAAATTTCTCCTGTGGATTCCCGCAAAAAAAAAAATTCTCCTGTGGAGTTCGTACTTTGCAAAGATTTATCCAGCTTACCTTTTCTTATCAAAATATTACCCAAAATGCAACGCGGGGCCATACTCTAGAGCTAAGTTGGTAATCACTGTCCCGCATTATTGCCGAAGCATTAATAGTATATTTCCGTGCAACTCTGCAAATTAACAATCTAGCACAAGTTTTTTCCGAAAAAGGGTGGATTTATTTGCTCAAGATGGAGCATCAAGAGGATACATAACAGCTAACACAATGAGCACACACCCAGCCTCTGCATAGGTATGATGCACACAGCCAACACACACACACACACACACACGAAAACACGCCGTCACTTGCAAAGTCATATAAGACCAAGGATATGTGTAGGTGAGGAAAAAAGAAAAAATTCCAAGCTGCACGCACCTTGTTAGCTAAGGAGGTGGCCACCATGTTGGAGGTTGCGACGGACAGGAACATGAATATGTAGCACAGGTAGTCACAGAACACGGTCCCGGGCCCTGAAATGAGAGCCATGATGAGCACATGTTACACTGAAGTGAGACAGTTTTCTACTACTAAAAAACAGTTAACTGAAACAACATGATGGGCCAATGCATCAAATTCATTGAGCGTGCCGCAGTTTATCAATCACAAGAAATCGGTTGAGATGACGAAGCAGTTTTGAGCAAATCCATTCAGTTCCATATCCCAATTTGTCAGAGTACTACTACACCATACTGGCAATTAGGATGCGTTTGGTAGGAAGAAGATAGTCTGTGCGTCTGCGCATTCAGTGCCCTCCCCCAAACCAATGCCGCAACACACAACATTGAGCCAAAAGCGGAGAGAGCATTACCTAGGGCAGCGAGCTGGAGGGAGGATGTCTGGCCGATGACCATGGTGTCGATGAGGCTCATGAGCGGGCCGCAGATCCAGAGCCCGAGCGCGGGCCCCGCGAACACCACCACGTCCCGCACCTGCGCCCATATCCCCGCGCCCTCCGCCGCTATCGCCTCCACCCCCACCCCCACCTCCCGCCCGCCCCCGTCGGCCGCGCCCGCCGCGGCGGCGCATCGGACGACGCGGACGGCCGCGTGCGGGGAGAGGCCGCGGCGGTGCGGGGCGAGGAGCCGGGCGGAGGGGAGCGGGGGCGCGGGCGGGAGCAGCCGCGCCCGCCGGAGGGAGGCCGGGGCGGGCAACGGGAGCGCGGCCCCGGCGGCGAGGAGGCGGAGGTGGGCGGACATGGCCGACGACGATGCCGAGCGTGCACTGCGCGCGCGGCGGAGTGGGACAAGTCTGTCTGTACTCTGTAGTGGACGGATGGAGAGGATCGTGTGGACTGGACCGCTACGCGGCCGACGGAGGCCGTTGCTGTACCTGTCACCGCTGCCCACCGTACGTCTCGTAGTACTCCCTCCGTCCGGAAATACTTGTTAGAGGAATGGATGTATCTAGACGTATTTTAGTTCTAAATACATCCATTTTTACGCATTTCTCCGACAAGTATTTCTAGACGGAGGGAGTAGTATACAAGTGCAACACTCGAATATCCATTCCTGCCACTGTCTACTACAACGAACAATAAAAATAATAAAAATTGCATTCAGATTCATAGTCCATCTAGTATCGATTATGAGCACTGAAGCGGGTTGAAGACGTGCTGCCCGTCATTGCCTCTCCCTTGCCGGAGCCACACAAAACTTGATGTGATAGACAGCTCAGAGTCTTTGTGCTATGGCCACATAGCACCAGCACAACAGAGCAGCAAGCGTTGTTGGTGAACACAATGTGAAAAAGATTAGAATTTCATCATGGATCTAGTGATATTGATTTGACATCGTGAATATTAATATGTGCTTTTCTCTAATAAACTTGGTCAAACTTTGAATAATTTAACTCATGATAAAACCTTAGATACGAAGTAAAGACAGAGAAAATACCCTTTTACGGAGTAAAAATATAGAGAATATCCTTTTTTTTTTGGTAAAAATGGTTCTTGGAAAAAAAATTGATTCATTGTACACGTGCAACACTAGTACATCGATACTCTTCATAAAATGTAGACAGTAGATACGGTTTTTATCCATGGTGCGCAGCGAGTGTGACGCTTCATCCTCATCCTGCTGATGGTCATTTTTTCAATAGGGAAAGGTGCATGAAGCTCTAAATTTCCATTTAGCCCAGTAACATCTTACAACATGAAGTGCATAGCCCTAAATATTGAAATTGGAGAGAGAAATTATAGGGCAAAACAGGTTATGAAGCACTCTGACGTGGTTGCACAAGAGGGATTCATAGCCTATTTGCAGAGAGGCAACGTAGATCAATATGCACATATAAATAAATATATGGGGAATCAATGTTTTCTTAAAACAATGTCACTATCATGTACTAGTTGAATGCCCGCATGTTGCCACATAATAAAAAGTAATTCATAGAAAAAAATTGTGCATGAGCAACTGACATAGCCCACCCTCTCGTCATCCGCCCCACATACCATATTGTCTCTTCTACTTCAACCACCATGAGGTTCTCTGCCACCCTTGCGTCCACCGCTCTTTCTCCCATGTACTTCCTATCAACAACGCGGAGGGCCAAATGTCCTACTCATGGCAATGTATTCTTAGATGTATAGAGTTGCTAAAAGTAGGAGTGGTATGGAGGATTGGTTTTGGAGACAGTGTGAGAATTTGGGAAGACCCTCGGATTCCACATGGCGATACTCGTAGACTTCACATTCGTCGAGACAGTGTAATTTGACTTTATTTAATCATGTTAATTCGGATTCCTGTGTTTTTTCAATTACTGTGAACAGAACACCCAACTTGACAGAATTCTTGTGTTAATCATTCCTCAGATTTGCGCGTGCATTTCTATCATATTCCTATGTTTTTGTATTGTTGAGTTTTTAAAATCTTGTAGAACAAATAAGGCCTAAATTAAGGCCGCACGCTACTTTTGGGGGTTGGCCTCTAGAAGGATTAATAGTAGAAGAATTTAATTTTGCCCGATGAAAGCTCACTTTTTATGACCGATTGAATTTTTATGGCAGACCATAAAAATAAATTTACCACATAACTAATGACAATGTAAAATCCACCGCGTTCTTCTATGCCTAGAGTTTAAGATAAAAGGGATCAATTAGATTTTCTTCTTCTTCTTCTTTCAGTTAGTCACCCCTACTACCCTACATTCCTATCGATCCATCCGTCTTCGCCGCCCAAACGCATCCACACTGGTGGTTGGGGTCACTAACTCATCACCTATCATGTCCGAGTCGTCTCCTCCAACGAGCCGACCATACCTCTAAATCCCCACCCCTCTTCCCGTGTCATATGATATACTCAATTATGGGTGTATTCTACAAGTTGGTGGGTGCTATCACTGTGAACATTGGATGAAAAATATAACTAACGGCCTTGGTGCCCTCGGAGCATTGCATCATGTGAATCCAAGGAGCAGTAGATATATCCTTGCAATGAGAAGGCCTTTCCACTATATGGAAATAGAAAAAAAAAGAACCTCGACGGAACCAAATCGACCCAGGAATTTTCTTAAAAAAAGGAGAAACCATCAAATCGGAGTTACAACTCCGACGACATATGGTGTGAAAGTGCTAATGGCACTTAAGCTATATTTTGGTGTGATGACAATGTGGTTAGTTGAATTAATATCGGTTGCTAAAGTTTATCTCAGATTATTGGTTCTAAGTGCCCGCAATGGAGAAGTGTGACCCCCCATTTCAAAAAGGACAAAGGCGTGGTCTTTCGACGCTTCGAAGGTTCAGTTTTGGTTTGCTTCGAGTCATAGGAAAGACCGCACTATTAAGAGGGGTCTGTGTGGATAAATGTTGTGTGGAAATGCCTTTGCCGAGCCTTACTCTCTTACCCTTCCCACTCCAACCACCTCATATGAACCTAGTGTGTGTGTTGTGATACTCAGAAAGTTGCAACAGTAAGTTACTGGGTACCCCGTGCGCACGGGGTCTTTTGACCCCCGTGCGCACGGGGTACTGGGTAACTCTCTGGGTACCCCGTGCGCACGGGGTCTTTTGACCCCCGTGCGCACGGGGTATTGGGTAACTCTCTGGATACCCCGTGCGCACAGGGCTGACTTAGCCCATGCGCACGGGGTCCAACAGGCAGAAATCCCCACCCTCACATGAACACTATAAAAAGGCCTTTCTTCCTCCTCCAACCCCGAACCCTAATGTCTTGTTGAGCTCCACCATTGCTACACCCCATTTTGCTCAATACTCTCAATCCCTCCACCCAAACTTGTGGAAACTTTGGGATTGGGAGAGCAAGACCCGATCTACAACTTGACCAAACCAAATCGCGTTCCCCGCAACATTTCTTCCCCATTGACCTGTTACTCTTGGAGCTTGGGCTCCTAGGCGGTTAGAGGTTCCTCCGGAAGCTTCCTTGCTTGTGGTGTGCTCCGAAGAAGTTTGTAAAGGTGTGGTGGTCGCCTTCAAGACCAACCCCGAGTGGTTCGAGGCTCATCCATTGGGGGTGACTCGAAGGAGAATACGGTGAGCCTTTGGTGGCATTCCGCAAGCTTTGGCTCCGGCACCGCTCCAAATGGAGATTAGCTCTTCCCCAAGGAAGAGTGAACTTCGGGTTAAAATCCGCGTCCTCGTCTCACTTGTGGTTAATCCTTTCCCGCACATTTCTTAGTTGTTTTATGCTTGTTGGCTTGCTAAGTAGTTTGTTGCCTAGCTTTTCTTCTTGGAGCTTGCTTGTCATATAGGTTGCATTCACCTAGTTGCATATCTAGTGAACTCTTTTATCCGCTAAGCCTTAAAATCTACAAGAAAGATTAAAATTTGTAGTCTCCTATTCAACCCCCCCCCCTCTAGTCGACTGTATCGGTCCTTTCAATTGGTATCAGAGCCTCGTGCTCTAATATAAGGTTTTACAACCTTAGAGGATATGGTCGATCTAGGGAATGAAGGAGGTGGCCTACCTGTTACGGGGGATGGTCAAAACCAACCCCCCGCCGCGACTGAGACACTTGGTGCTCCAGTCGTTGCTCCTGCCACTACTACTAACCCGAATGTCCCCTTGACCACGGCCGATCTTCTTTCAATGTTTGCGGACCTCAAAGTCTCTATGTTGAAAGAGGTCCGTGCATTGGTCAAAGAGGAAATTGATGCTCGCCTAAAGCCATCAACGTCCGCATCAAACTCGTTTAACCCAAATGAGGTTCATGATGCGGATGACTCGAGGGAACCTCTTGCTTCCCCGGCTCGTACTCAAGTTCCCCAGTACAATGCCGTGGAACCCTTTTACTCTCCTCAACCCTTGCAACATGCAACGCCCCATATGTAACCTTCCCGAATTGTACTCCAACTCTTGCCGTTTCCGGCATTAAGTTATATTTAATTCTCGGGTTCGGGTCTTTGTCTCCGTGTGTTGTTTTTGTTTTCGTGCATCTCATATCATGTCATCACGTGCATTGCATTTGCATACATGTTCATCTCATGCATTCGAGCATTTTCCCCGTTGTCCGTTTTGCATTCCGGCGCTTCG